TGAGAATGGAGCTAGGTGGGCAAGGCCTCACCGCATCAGCGCCCCGAGGTCACGGCGACAAGTGTCGCGGCATGATTGGACAACAAACGATCTCGGGCTGCAGTGCAGGAGCTGTTTCAGATTTGCTGAAGGCAGCCTCGAGACCGCTGCGATGGACGGATGCCGAGGGCGGCCGCCGTTCCTTCGAAGTCAGCGCCGCGATCTATGGGACATAAGCTTGTCGCCATGATTGGGCAGAACCGAAAAACTGGTGTGCTCCTGGAGTCGTGTCGACCATCGCCCAGAGAGCAGATGCTCCGTCTGCGCTGCGTGGGTTGGTCCTCGGGGAAGGGGTTTAAAGCTCGGCCGTCCGTGTGAGGTTCCGTCCCGTAAAGGTTTGGAGATTTTGTTTGAGCTCAGGAAGGGAACTGCCCGAACCCAAGAGTTCGGGCAGCTCTGGATCGTGCGGTTCCTCCCGGTAGGCTTGGCGTCTCCGCCGTCCCTCCTGAACCAGACGCTCTGGCGGTAGTCAGGACCTCGCACTCTTGTTCCCTGACGGCCCCCTCCTATGAGCAGCGTGTGTCAGCCTTGTGTGAGGGGATTCGTCTAAAGCAGCAGGCCGCAGAGGCCGCTTTCAGAAGCCAAGTTTTGTGCAGAGTTCGTGGCTCTGTGACTTCCGTCCAACGTTGGCGGCAACGGCACATTTCATTGCGCCAAGGCAATCCCCCGCCGCTGGTTGCTGGTTCGTCCGAGGCCCGCGCGCGGCGGCGTCGCGCCCCCCCTGCCTGGTTGCCGTTTCGTCCAAGGTTGGCGCAGGGCCGGCCGCGCGCCTGTGCTCGCTGGTAGCTCTCTGTGGTGGGGCGTACGCACTGCGTCCGCCTCCTCTGCTGCTTTTTGTTTATATTTGTGCTGTGCACTCCCCTTTTTCGGGTCTTCTGCTCCTCTTTTACGTGCTCGCTTTCCCTCGGCGCGTAGCGGGGCGCACGCCCATCGGGCTGCCGTCGCCCACCAGATTCTCGAGGCAGTGGCCTTCCGTTCCTCAATCTCCTTTTCCTTCCGCATCCTCCTCTGCCTCCTCCTCGACTTCCTCCTCCTCTCCTTCCCTCTCTTTCTCCTTCTCCTCGATCCCTCCTCTCTCCTCGACCTCCTCCTCGACCTCCGTCTGCTCCCCTTCCTCCTTCGTTGCCCTCCTGCTTTGTGGGCCCAGTGAACATCCTACGATCATCGTGTCAGGCATTTGATGTCTCGTCGGCTGGCCGTTTTTCCTCGGGGAAAAAACCCTCCCCCTCATCCGCCCTTCTCATTTGCCTCTATCGTGAGGGCCACCGATGTCTCGACAGGCCCTCTTTTAAACTCCGGGAATATCCGGACCTCCGCCGTCACGAGGAAGAGAAGGGAGAAGGGAGGGACAGGGTAGAGGATTTGCCACCACATGTATGTACGTACGTACGTACGTATGTATGTATGTAGATATACGTGCATTCCTATGTACATATGTACGTCTAGAAGTTTACATAGATGCATGGCTGTACGTATGTATATGTGTATGTTTGCATGCATGCATGCATTCATGCAGTTGTGTATGTACGAATGCGTGGATGTATGTATGTATGTGTATGTATGTATGCATGCATGTATGCATGCATGCATGTATGTATATATGCTTGTGTGGGTGTCGGATTGTGAACCGTCATACATTCAAGCACACACGTATGTATACATATACATATATATATATATATATGTATATATGTATATATGTAGGTATATATGCACATACAAACGACCAATCACACACAAACGAACACTCATGCATATATGCACACATACATGCACACATGCATGCATGCATACATACACACATATATACATATTGACACAGGCATGCATACATATACGTACACACATACACACATCCATACACCCCCACACACATACATACATGCATACATGCATGCATGCATGCATTCACACACAAGCATATGTACCCATACATACATCCATACACACATGTGTATGTATACACATAAGCACATGTATACATACATACATACATACATATATATATATATATATATATACACATATCGATTCACCTTGCTTCCAGCCCGCTGGGGCGCCCTCGTCGCCACGTGTGGGTTCGCCCCGACATGCTGGCAGGAACGCATCCTAGGGAGAGGTCCAGAGGGTCGACTTTTCAGGGAGAAGGGCCCAAGCAGTCGGCGCCACGAACAACACTGGGATAGCTTGCTTTTCCTTCGCGAACCTCCAGGCTGAGACGCCCGCTTGTGGTTCCAGGGTCATAAAAAAGGGCCCTGGATACAAACAAAATTGTCAGGTGAGGATGAGAAGCCTGGAGGCCTGCGTCACGAACAGAAACATGACGTCGAATGTTTGAACGCCTCTGCGCAAGCCACCCACGCACCACCATTCTTGGCGAGCTCGGCCAGTTGGGCGTGCACACATTGCCTGGGCCCAGGATGGTCCTACCCATGCGTGGTGGTGGCAAATCATGTGTTTATCCTCTGGCGATGACGGGCGTGAGGGGGGGTGGGAAGAAGGGGGGAGGTGGCAGGTGCCAGAACGTCACGATTCCTGCCGGCGCCGTCTGGGAATGCTTCGGACTTGCTGATTCCTGGGCAACGCTGGCGCGCATCGCGACGTGACCAGGGGTGTGGGGGTGGGGGTGGGGGTGGGTTTGGGGGGGATCGGCATCACCCCAACATATGCATGCTATGTGCGAGTCGCCCCTCAGGGGCGACGCGCACACCGAGAAATCTTCTAGCATATGCGTCGTGGCGGGCGCTTTCTGGCCACACCGCTCGGGAAACAATCTGCTACAAGGTGGGTATACGATATGTTCGGGTGGGGTCGAGGATATCGAGGACCGAGGATCGAGGATCGAGGTTCGAGGGTCGCGGATCGAGGATCGCCAATCGAGGATCGAGGATCGAGGATCGAGGATCGAGGTTCGAGGATCGAGGATCGAGGACCGAGGATCGATGTTCTATGATCGAGGATCGAGGACCGAGGATCGATGTTCTATGATCGAGGATCGAGGGGGCTCCAGCGCAGATCCAAGAAATCCGCGCGGAACGCAAACAAGTTTATGTTTATGCCGTTTTTGTAATTCTATCGGGGAAACGTGAGACTCGAGGAAGCCAGAACTCGGGCTTGTCGACGTTTTTTGACGAGCGCGTCCTGGATTTTGACGGTCCTGTTTTCGGAGGCTGTCTGCAGCGGGAGTTCGCGTCAGATGTCAGATTGGGTCTCGTCCTTCTTATGCTAGCCCCGTCAGGCCAACCCGAGCCTCCCGTGACCGAGTCTTACGCCCCCCCGATTCTAGCTCCAGACATGACTTTTGAGGTTTATGCGCAGTCTGACCGAGGGATTCGAAAATCAAAACTATAAACATACACTTTCGGCGCTCCGCGCGGTTTGCTTGGATCGGCGCCTGGCCCCCCCCCGGCGGCGCCTCTGGCGCCGCCTCGGGCGCACTCCGCGCGCCAGGGAGGGGGGTCCAGCGCAGATCCAAGATATCCGCGCGGAGCGCCAACGCTTTATGTTTATACCGTTTTTTCCGCTTGAAGAAAGTGGGGTCCAGGTCTCCAGTCGTGCTTTTTTTGTTGCTATTTTTGTGCAGTCTGCCCGAGATATCAGTTCGAGGTCGGTTCGGGGAGGGTGCCCTAATGTTCGTCGTGCTTGATCGATCTTCTTTTGCAGCCTGGGGATGGCACGCGCGGATGCTCTCTGTCTTCTCGCCGGCGGAGGGCCTCCTCTTCTCGACGGGTGCTCTCCTCTGCCCCAGGCCCGACTGCTTCTTACCGCGGCGTCGGACCTCGGGGCCGCAGGGCAGGGATGCCGGGTCCCGAGGCTCTCCGCCGCCTGCGGCCTCCCCCCGGGGCACCGGGCTGGGGCGTCGCGGGGGGTCCTCCCTTCCTGCCCTCCGCTACCGTCCGACGACGGCGCTCGCGCCGGCGACGGCGGCGGCGGCCTCCCTTCCTAACACAGATAATCGCCGATCCCCGGGAGAATCTGGAACTACGGGAGGTGGTGGGGAGCACGGAGGTCCAGAACATGGGGAAGGCATGGGGCATCCTGGGACTTGGGTCTACTTATTTGTGTGTGCCCCTGGGCCCCCTCATTTCCATCCGACGACGGCGATCGTGCCGACGACGGCGGCGGCGGCAACGACCGGCGACCGGTGGCGACGGCGGAGGCGCCGTCGCCACCAGCGCCGTGTCCTGCCTCGTGGGGCCGGCAAGCTGGGAGTTGCCTGCGCCCCCCTGGGCCCAAGGTGCCCCACATCCCTTCCGGGGCAGGCCCCAGGCGGCCTCCAGAGCCAGCCCTCGCGAGGCCCAGGCGCCAGAGGCCGAAAATGGCCGAAGGCCTCCCGTGGCCGTTTTTCACGACGCGAGGCCCTCGCGGCGTCAAACAAATACCCGAGCAGGGCACCCGAAGACCAGCAGAGGGGCAGAGACGGGTCGAGGAGCAGGAGAAGCAGAGCACGTCCGGGAAGCCCAGAGGAAGAACAGGTGCAGACAGGACAGGGGTGAGAGCACGGCCGTGAGCACCCTGGTGGATTTTTCGCACGGCATCGTGGCCGCCTGGGCCAAACATGTAGCCGGCATGGAGGCGAGAGTGCGGTTTCTGACTGCACTGCGCGGAAGTCTCGGGCGAAACGGCTGCGGAGACGCTTCCGGGCTGGGCGGTCCCGGGCTGTCCTTTCCACGGGTGGGACTCTTCTGTGGTCTTCCAACATCGGCCACGCGCAGAAGGGGGGCAGGGAGAGGGGGGAAGGCTGATTCGAAGCACCCCTGCTTCTTAGAAGGCGCGCGCATTGTCTCTAGATGTATAACCGGCGCCTTCTACGAAGCAGCCCGCTTCTAAGAGGCCTTCCCCACTCCCCCTATCCCCCCCCTGTGTGCGCGGCCAACCAATATTCCCACGAGGACCCTCTAGCCACACGTCACGACGGATGATTTTCGGCGAGGGCGTTAGAGCTCTCAGCGCCCAACGAGGCGGAGGCGCGCGGGGCAGCGGCGGAGGCCCCGAGCTGCTGGGCGGCCTGGCCGAGGTGCGCCTCGGCGCGCTGGTGCCGGGGGGAGGATCGAATCTCGAGTGTCGAGCTTCCAAGACTGCGCAAACTCTAACGATTCAGTGTGTTTTTCCGAACCATCCTGTGGTCTGGGGTCCTCGTTTTGAAGAGACGTCGCCCTGCGTTCCTCCTCTCCTCTCCTCTCCTCCTCCTCCTCCTCCCCTCCATCCTCCTTCTTCGATGCCTTTCACCCACCCAGCACAGCGCTTCGTGGCCCCATAGGGAGCCCCATCGCAGCCCCCAGTGGGACCGCCCGCATGCGCCCCCCACATCCACTTTGGCATTTTCACACACCCAGTACAACGTTTCGGGGTCCCACAGGGAGCTCCACTGAAGCCCCCAGTGGGGCCGCCCGCATGCGCCCCCCACGCCCAAGTTGGCATTTTCACCCACCCAGTACAACGTTTCGTGACCGCAGAGGGAGGGAGCTCCACCGAAACCCCCAGTGGGACCGCCCACATGCGTCCCCGACATCCAATTTGGCATTTTCACCCACCCAGTACAGCGCTTCGTGGCCCAATAGGGAGCTCCACCGAAGCCCCCAGTGGGACCGCCCGCGTGCGCCCCCCACACCCAACTTGGCATTGTCACCCACCCAGCACAGCGCTTCGTGGCCCAATAGGGAGCTCCACCGAAACCCTAAGTGGGACCGCCCGCATGCGTCCCCCACACCCAATTTGGCATTTTCACTCACCCAGTACAGCGCTTCGTGGCCCCAGAGGGATCTCCACCGAACCCCCCCGTGGGACCGCCCGCGTGCGTCCCCCACGCCCAACTTGGCAGTTTCACCCACCCAGTACAGCGCTTCGTGACCCAATAGGGAGCTCCACCGAAGCCCCCAGTGGGACCGCCCGCATGCGTCCCCCACACCCAACTTGGCATTGTCACGCACCCAATACAGCGTTTCGTGGCCCAATAGGGAACCCCACCGAAGCCCCCAGTTGGACCGCCCCCATGCGCCCCCCACACCCAACTTGGCACTGCCACCCACCCAGTACAGCGTTGCGTGGCCCCAGAGGGAGCTCCACCGAACCCCCCAGTGGGACCGCCCGCGTGTGTTCCCCACGCCCAATTTGGCAGTTTCACCCACCCAGTACAGCGCTTCGTGGCCCCACAGGGAGCTCCACCGAAGCCTCCAGTGGGACCGCTCGCGTGCGTCCCCCACACCCAACTTGGCATCTTCACCCACCCAGTACAGCGCTTCGTGACCGCAGAGGGAGGGAGCTCCACCGAAGCCCCCAGTGGGACCGCCCACATGCGTCCCCCACATCCAATTTGGCATTTTCACCCACCCAGTACAGCGTTTCGTGGCCCAATAGGGAACCCCAGGAGCAGAGATCCTCGGGGTGGGCTTCTGCAGCGGGACCGGCCGCCAAGGAGGAAGATGAAGGAAATATACCAGGAAAGAGGAGACGAGGCTGAGGAGGGCCAAGGTGATGCTCGAAAAGAGTGCGAGCCTGCCGGTCTGCAGAAGGATGAAGGAGGCGACGATGGCGAGCAAAGCGCTGGCAGTCGCCGAGTACGGCTGGTTAGACAGGCAGATGAACAAGAGGGACGAGACGCAGCTACAGGCGGCGATCGCGAGGGCGAGGCAGGAGCCCAAAGCAGGGAGCCCCCACCTCCGGGCCATCTTCTGTGGCCACCGGCTCAGTGTCAGGTGCCGCCTGCTGACGACTGCCTTCATGGCAGCGTGGCGCACCCTCCGCAAGGACCAGCGGCGGGCCACGCTGGGAACCTGGAGGAGGCAGGAGGGATGCTCTGGCCGGATCCACGCTCTCCTGCAGGGCTGCGGCTGGCAGGAACGCGCCGAGTGGGAATGGAGGCGCCCAGTCACGGGCGTCATTCTCAGCCTGCGCAAGGGCAGCGAGCACTGGTCTGAGTGCAAAGGACGCTTCGAGCACGTGCTCCGGGAAGGCTGGCGCGCGAAGCTCTTCGGGAGGTGGCGGGGGCAGGGCCGCATCGACTCGTCTCTGTGCCGGTTCGAGCAGTACGACGAGCGGCGCTGCAAAGCCGCGAGGCTTCTGGCAGAGGGCAGCACGCACGCGGCCAGCGTGATGTCCGGAGCTGTCGTTTCGCCGGCGCACCTGCAGGCGGCGAAGGGCAGAGGGGAGAGAGGAGGAGGAGGAGGAGGAGGACGAGGACAACGACGAGAAGGGCGAGCAGCAGTGCAGGAGCATTGCCCCCGCTGTGGGAGGAACGAGGCGCCGGACTTCGAGCACGTGTTCCGGCGCTGCGAGGCGGAGATCAGGCCCGTAGGCCGGCCACAGGATGCGCTGCAGCGGCGCCTCCTCTGGCCGATCGGTCTGAAACGCAGGAAGGAGGTGGGCGCCGGCCTGCTGTGGCGGGCCGTCGCCATACGCAAGGCGACCCTGGAGGAGCGCCGTGGAAGGAGACCGGCCGAAAGCGCCGCCAGCGCCCCCCGGAGAGCTGAGGGCAGGACGAGGAGGTAGAGGAGGTGAGGAACCCGAGGGAGAGGTTGAAGGAGGGCGGCTGTATAGGAGGAAGAGGAGGCAGAGGCAGAGGAGAGAAGACTTGCAGGGAGGAGAGAGGGAGAGGAGGAAGAGAGGAAGATTTCTCACAAATGTGCATTGTTATGAAGTTGCAGCGTACATCATTCAAGCTTGCGTGGCCACCGAAGCCCCCAGTGGGACCGCCCGCATGCGTCCCCCACACCCAACTTGGCATTGCCACCCAACCAGTACAGCGTTTCGTGGCCCCAGAGGGAGCCCCACCGAAGCCCCCAGTGGGGCCGCCCGCATCGTCCCCCGCAGGCAGCCCACCGAAGCCTCCAGTGGGACCGCCCGCATGCGTCCCCCACATCAATTTGGCATTTCCACCGGCCTAGTACAGCGTTTCGTGGCCCATAAGGATACCAACTGGCGCCCCCAGTGGGGCCGCCCGCATGCGTCCCCCCCCCCCCCCCCCCCCCCCCTCCCGCACACACAATTTGGCAGTTCCACCCGTCCTTTACAGCGCGTCGTGGCCCCATAGGGAGCCCCACCGAAACCCCTAATTGAACCGCCCGCATGCGTCCCTCACGCTTAATTTGGTATTTTCACCCACCCAGTGTAGCGTCTCGTGGCCTCATAGGGAGCTTCACCGACGGCCCCAGTACTACCGCCCGTATGCGTTCCCCCCCCCGCCCAGCGCAACGTTTCGTGGCACCAAGGGAGCTGCATTGAAGAAGATATTCACAGTTGCACTACCCACAATTTCATATGGTTGGGTCCTTCGCCAGGATAATTCCCAACCCTCCTATGATTGGGTACTCGTTTTGAATAGAGCAGTGTGGTCGCCCCGTCCTTCTCCTCCTCCCCCCTCCTCCCCTCCTCCTCTCATGTTTCCTTGTTCCCCTCTCCTCTTCTCTCGTGCCGTCGGGTTGCGATCTGCGCAACTGTCGCCACATTCGCGGGCTCCTGGGAGGCCCAGCGGAGGTACGTCCAACGCGGATCACCTCGAGACCTCGCGGCGCCCTGGGGGGCTGCGATCTGCGCAACTGTCGCCACTTTCGTGGGCTCCTGGGAGGCCCAGCGGAGGTACGTCCAACGCGGATCACCTCGAGACCTCGCGGCGCCCTGGGGGGTGCGATCTGCGCAATTGTCGCCACTTTCGTGGGCTCCTGGGAAGCCCAGCGGAGGTTCGTCCCGCGCGGACCATCTCGAGACCTCGCGGTGCCCTGGGGGCTGCGATCTGCGCAATTGTCGCCACTTTCGTGGGCTCCTGGGAAGCCCAGCGGAGGTTCGTCCCACGCGGACCACCTCGAGACCTCGCGGTGCCCTGGGGGTTGCGATCTGCGCAACTGTCGCCACTCTCGTGGGCTCCAGGGAGGTCCAGCGGAGGTACGTTTCACGCGGACCACCTCGAGACCTCGTGGCGCCTTGGGGGGCTGCGATCTGCGCAACTGTCGCCTCTTTCGTGGAACCTGGGAGACCCAGCGGAGGTACGTCCCGCGCGGACCATCTGGAGACCTCGCGGTGCCCTGGGGGCTGCGATCTGCGCAATTGTCCCCACTTTCGTGGGCTCCTGGGGGGCCCAGCGGAGGTACGTCCCACGCGGACCACCTCGAGACCTCGCGGCGCCCTGGGGGCTGCGATCTGCGAAACCGTAGCCACTTTCGTGGGCTCTTGGGGGGCCCAGTGGATGTACGTCCAACGCGGATCACCTCGAGACCTCGCGGTGCCCTGGGGTCTGCGATCTGCGCAACTGTCGCCACTTTCGTGGGCTCCTGGGGGGCCCAGCGGAGGTACCCTCGGGGCTGCGATTTGCGCAACTGTCGCCGCTTTCGTGGGCTCCTGGGAGGCCCAGCGGAGGTACGTCCAACGCGGATCACCTCGAGACCTCGCGGCGCCTTGGGGGGCTGCCATCTGCGCAACTGTCGCCACTGTCGTGGGCTCCGGGGAGGCCCAGCGGAGGTACGTCCCACGCGGACCACCTCGAGACCTCGCGGCGCCCTGAGGGGGTACCTTGGGGGCTGCGATTTGCGCAACTGTCGCCACTTTCGTGGGCTCCTGGGAGGCCCAGCGGAGGTACGTCCCACGCAGATCACCTCGAGACCTCGCAGTGCCCTGGGGGCTGCGATCTGCGCAACTGTCCCCACTTTCGTGGGCTCCTGGGGGGCCCAGCGGAGGTACGTCCAACGCGGATCACCTCGAGACCTCGCGGGCCCGGGGGGGCTGCGATCTGCGCAACGTCGCCACTTCGTGGCTCCTGGGAGGCCCAGCGGAGGTAGTCCCACGCGTCACCTCGAGACCTCGCAGTGCCTGGGGGCTGCGATCTGCGCAACTCACTTTCTGGCTCCGGGGGGCCAGCGGAGTCGTCCAACGCGGACCACCTCGAGACTTCGCGGCGCCCTGGGGGCTGCGATCTGCGCAACTGTCGCCACTTTCGTGGGATCCTGGGAGGCCCAGCGGAAGTACGTCCCACGCGGATCACCTCGAGACCTCGCGGCGCCCTGGGGGGCTGCGATCT